GCTTTTTTTTTTACTTTGTAATATAACATATAATACACATAAATACTAAATTGTAGTAAATAAATATTTTACATTGAGGAACAGCGAATATTAAAGCAATGTAAATGAAAGACGAAGAAGGTGATCCAAGGAAAGTTTTCCCCATCATCATCTCTTTCTTGTGCTTTGAATATCTAGGGATTGTGCTGAAAGGTGCTCCAAGCATTCTGTTTATCATTATTTACATGCCTCCAAACTACTCTCCCGTCTTTGTTGAAGAGTTCACAGAACTGTTATCAATGATTTTCTCAGAGTTTGACTGTTTTGCTATTGCAGGGGATTTTAATATTCACATAGGTAATGCAGAAATCAAAACTACAAAATAAATTATAACTGTTTTAAACACTTTTGACCTGATTCAGCATGTGCATGAACCTACACACCATCGTGGACATACTCTAGATTTACTCATCAGTAGAGGTCTAAACATTTCATCCATTGTTATTAAGGACGTAGCACTATCTGATCACTTCTGTATTTTCTTTGATATATTGATCTCTGCTACCACTGAATTTAGATCTGTCTCTGTCAGAAAGAGATGCATTAACGAAAACACTAGTGTGCTATTTATGGAGGCTATATCTTTAACTCCAAGCATTTCTGTAGACTCTGTTGATCTTCTCCTTGATTCCTTTAACTCAAAAGTTAAAAATGTTATTGATGACATTTCTCCCGTGAAAGTCAGCAAGAAGACTGGCAGACAGAAATCAGCTTGGAGAAAATCAACAGCAGTTCAGAGTATGAAAAGACAATGCAGAAAAGCTGAGCGGATGTGGCGGAAGACGAAACTTGAAATCCACTATAGCATATATAAAGACAGCCTTCGTGCTTTCAATGTGGAACTAGCCACAGCTAGACAGACCTTCTTCTCAAACTGTATAAACGGTAACTTAAACAACACTCGCACTCTTTTTGCTGCTGTTGAGAGACTAACAAACCCCACAAGTCAGATTCCCAGTGAAATGCTCTCCGACAGCAAATGCAATGAGTTTGCTTCCTTCTTTTCTGAGAAGATCAATAATATCAGGAAGGCGATTAGCACATCCCCAAGTTATGCAGAGGTTAGACAGATTTGACCACAATTTCAAAAATAAGTTACCATGTCTGTTTTTGAAGCAATTGATAGCAAAGTTTTGGAAGAAATAGTACAGCACCTAAAATTGTCAACCTGTTACCTTGACACACTTCGCACATCTTTTTTCAAAAGTGTGCTTAACTGTTTAGAAGATAATATTTGCTTAAATTCTGATTTTGGCAAAATATCAGTGCTGGTACTTCTAGATCTTAGTGCTGCATTTGACACTGTCGATCATAACATACTTCTAGAGAGACTAGAAAACTGGGTCGGGCTTTCTGGGATGGTAATCAAATGGTTCAGGTCATACTTAGAAGGGAGAGGTTATTATGTGAGTATAGGAGAGCTGTACCATGCTGAAAGTCAGGGTGCTTTAGAGCATTTTTACCAGACATTGAAATCTTATGTTAAAGGGTGATTGGGAGGAAGGTTTACCGTGGTTGCTGTTGGCCACACGTGAGGTTGTCCAGGAGAGTTTAGGATTTAGTCCCAATCAGTTAGTCTTTGGACATCGTGTACGGGGACCATTGGTAGTACTGTGTGATGGTGCTCTACAGGAGGAGCCACCACAGAGTTTGATTCAGTATATACATGGTTTCCATCGACGTTTAGTTCTGGCTGGGGAATTGGTAAGAGAGAAATTGGGGAAAACCCAGAAAAAGATTAAATGTTGGTCTGATCGCAAGTCAGAGATTTGCATGTTTAGCCCAGGAGATCAGGTGTTAGCTTTGTTTCCTTTACCGGATTCTCCTTTTTGTGCAAAATTTTCAAGACCTTACACTGTGCTTCGAAAAGTGTCTGATCAAAATTATATACTTTCTACCCCTGAGCGCAGGAAGCATACTCAGTTGTGCCATGTGAGTTTGTTAAAGCCTTTTTATGCTCGTAATGTGGCTAAACGTAAGAAATTAGAGTCTGAAGTCAATTACATGCTTGAAAACAACATAGCAAAGCTATACTTTTCAGATTGGGTTTCGCCTTGCTTGCTGGTGTAACTATCCACCGGCTGAGGGTCTGCTTGGAAGCAGGATGACCTCTCTTAGGGGGACCATAGCACACAAGCAGTTGGTACGCCTTTCTCCACCGGGCAGCTCTGTGGACGTAAGCACAGAGGACTCGCACTGGACACATACAATTAAGCCTCTGCTAGTCGGGCTCCCTAAAGGGAGGAAGATAAATAGCCTGGAGTACGACAGGCCGTGGTGTAGAGGAGGGGACCTTAGGGACATACCCCGCCCGAGGGTACAAAAAAGATTTGGCCAGACCAGGCGCAAAGTCGAGATAGGAAGGAGCCACAGAAAGGGCCTGCAGATCCCCAACTCTCTTTAGAGAAGATACAGCTAAGATAAACACAGTCTTTAATGTAAGAAGACGATCTGATATCTCCTCGATAGGCTCAAAGGGAGACCTACAGAGAGCTTCTAACACCACAGCGAGAATTCCCCGGGCCTCGGCCCCTGCCTCGACAGGATGTCTGCCCCCATATTGAGATGCCCAGGATACCCGTTACCTGTGGTAAATACACGGCCCTCAGACAGAACAGGCAGGTTGTCGATGAGTGACGGAGCAGAATAAGGATGGAGCAAAGTGTGGATGCGCTGTCCTTGAAGGACGCTCACCTCTGTTTTGTTTAAATTTTGCTTAGCCTATAATTTTAAATGAAAGATGTCGTATTTATTTATTGTTCTCTGCGACACTTTTCCTACTGTGTTAATAGAAAAATGTCAAACGAATTTAGTATTTTGACGAGAATAATAAAAATAGCTAATAGGCTATTTTTGTACAACCTACATTTTTATTTTTATTTTTTCTCTCTGCACACTTTTTCCCTATTGTGCTGTCAATGTTAAACTAATTGTATCCTGACAAGACGAATAAAAATAATAAAATTTTTGTACAACATTTTTATTTTCTTTGACACTTTTTTCCCCCTACTTGTGTTGCATAAAATATTAAATTAATTTTGTGTCTTAAGATAATTCAATAAATTCAAGAATCTTGACAAGACGAATAAAATAACACAATTTTGTGCAGACTACACTTTTATTTGTCAGCCTATCTCTCTTTCTTTCAGTAGCGTAAATTTAAATGTGAGATTCTGGGACATTCTAAAACGCTTAACGTGAAAAAACTAATTTCTGTCAAATTGTACTTATAATAAACACTACTGTCAAATGGACGAGCTCTTATTCAGCGTATAAAGTGAATAATATCACGTTAAGCATTCTCCCCCATAGAAGTACATTATAAGGAAAAAGCTTAACATGTTATGATCTAAAAGCACAGACAAATCAATAAACTTGACAATGAATGCTTTGTTGTCCCGTAGACTTCCGTTGTTTGGGGGCGTTGACCCTGTTCGCATGGCTCGCGTAGATCATTACCATATGAATAGCACACTGCGCACGGGCATGATCATTAGAGATAATGAGCTGAGACAGAAGAAACCTGTACCTCTCTTTACTTTCATGCTTATTACAAAATTAAACTGAACAAAATTGCAATGTTCTCAGTTCGTCGATGTGTCCACGTGTCCAACGTGATATTATACGTTATAGCTAGGCTACACTGAATAAGAAGAGCTTGTTCTTTTAACAGCAGAAAGTGTTTATTATAAGTAAAATTTGATAGAAATGTAATTTTACCCGGTCGTTGTTAAGGTACGTTAAACCACATTAAGTTGTTTCCTTATAATGGACTTCTATGGGGGAGAAAACGCTTAACGTGATATTATTCACTTTATCTGTGGAATAAGGGCTCATTCTTTTGACAGTAGTTAATATTTATTACAAGTAAGGTTTGACAGAAATGTGGGTTTCCCTGGTCAGTGTATAAGTACGTTAAGCATTTTAAAATGTCCCGAGATTCTGGAAACGAGATCTAAATTTAGCGGGAACGGTCAGGTTGAGAAGAAAATTATTCTAAGCGGACAGCGGGTGAACAAAGAGTGAATATATAGCGGGAGCGGGTGGGTGCGGAATACAACTTTGGGTGAGCGGGACTAATAAAAAAACAGTCCCGCGCAGACAACTAGCTTTAGCTTTAGCTTAACATTTCTAGGTTTATGTGTCTTGTGGGACTATGCCAACTGTGGTATACACAGACCATAACCGCCTTACTTTTCTTCACTCGTTGCAGAATCCATCCATGGTTTAATGACTTTGCGTTATTAACTTATTTATTAATTATTAATCTCCAGTTATTAACTCCAGTTAAGGTTGTGATTGTTTTCTTGAAATTAACTTTGGGTATATTTGGGTTTGGAAATTGTATAAGGTGGAGTTTCTAATGAGAATCTCTCCCTTTGAGGGGGGGTGTTACGGTTTTGTTTTGTTTTGGGTTTCTTTCCTGTTATCGTTTCTTTTGTTTTATATGTTACCAGATAAGGATCTATACCTGTTACCAATTTGGGACTGTATTTAAGGTGTCTGGCCTTTTTTTGGAGGAGGAGGTTTCGTCCTTATCCTGCAGTTGTGCTCCAAAGCTGGACCTTCACTTTGTTTTCCGTTAATTGTTTGTTTCTTTGTTGTTGTTCATTTAGTATCTTTTGCATTTAAACTCCTGGACTTAAATAAATATTTTCTTGTTAATATACTTTTGGACTTCGAACCCTTTTTGTTGTTGCTTCCTTGAGTCGCATGTAACAATTTATTGAATGAGCACTGTGCTACGTCTGAACTGATTGAACTGTATTTTATGTATAATAATTTAATATTTTTAACTGTTTTAATAAATTGTTAAATCAATTTATAAATAATTTTAAAAGTTAAGTTCCCTGTTTTATTGTTGTGATTTTTTAAATGATTATTGTACATCCTTTTATGTAAAGGACTTTGAATTACCATTGTGTATGAAATGTGCTATATAAATAACCTTGCCTTGCATTTCTTCGAGCACACTGAGCTCTAAATAAAATGATTAATTATATTATAAAGACATACTTTTCCATTTCATTTGTTATCTATACATATTAATTTTACTTCAGAATAAACATTATTTTTCAGTTTTCCAGTGTTTGTATGAACACACTCACCTGGCGCAGCTTCCTTCCGCATCACTTCCTGTTTGGGCGGTTGAGACCATTGCAGCGTCACGTCAGAAAACCCTCGTTCCACCAAAGCAGACTGAAGCTGAAATGAGCAGATCTCTTAAGAGTGCTATCAGTGAGCTCAGATTTCTGTATGTTTCCCTCTCTCACCTGTGACATGAGCTGGACTCTCACTGCAGCTTCAGACAGACTCGAACTGGACTTCATCTTAATCTTCACAAACGTTTTCTTCATTAAAGGACCTGAAAGAGCACATGAGAGTGAACATACACAGACAGAAGGGAAACGCAAATAATACAATGCAACTAACAATATAATCATGCATTTTTAGGATACTAAAATACATTATCTCATCATTGCATCTTTTGTTTTTGACATTAAATGCACTCTCTACAATAATCTACAGAAGTTTAGTGCAAATGCATCTGTCATTTAAGATTAATTAACGGGTGCAACATGAAGATATTGTACAGTGATCCTCAAAAAATCATGAACAAAAGTACACAAAGTAAAACAAAATATGGCCCAAACGATGTTAAATACAGATTCACTTCCAATAAGGATGCATATGGTTTAGTGTCGAACACAAATGCTTTTTATGTAGTGAATTATTGAATGCTGAGATCCTGAAACAATAAATCAATTACATCCCTGCATCTGGGAATTCAGATGATTTGCAAATGATTAGATTATGGTGAGTTTAAAAATATCAACAAAAAACATCACGTACAGTTTTTTTTTCATGAAATAATTAAATTATATATGTGTCTCAGCTTTAATGCACTTATCAAAATAACAAAAGCAGTCAAATGTCGAAGTTTTGGTTTTAATGACAAAAATAAATATTTAAGATGTATCATTTAACTTAGTCTGCAAACTATTTAACTTTGCATAAACACAGAAAATATGGCTTTCATTAATGTGCTGTTAATAATTGCATGTACAGATAAAGCTCATGTTTTCATTTTCTTCGGTCACTGGCCATAATTGAAATCAGGATTAGGTATAAAATACTGTCACATATGTGAAAATGGGTTGAGAATTGAACAAATGGTTGTAATGTGGCTCAGATTCAGACAGGAGTCATGTGTTTCTGGTGTTTTTCTGCTGATTAAGAGAGAATACAAGATTTCTTCACCTTACAAATGGTTATCAAAAGCAAAAATTCTACGAAAAGCATCATATCTTGTGAGAAACTGTGACGAGTTCAAGCAAAACAGACACTAGTTTTGGAATCAACAGCCCAAAATTAGAAAAGTCATTCATTTATAGCTTGATTTTCCTTGTTTGATCACACCTTCTCCATAGACCGGCACCTCACACATGCAGAGTAAGATATCTCCGGGAATGAACAGATTCACGTATCGACCCTCCATGTCGTTACACATCTAAAGAGAGACAGAGAAAACCTCATTTAGACTTAATTTAGACTAGTGCAAGTATTGAAGGCAAAATGTGTTTATAAAGCACTGTAAAAACTTTTTTTACAACACTATATCGTAAGTGTGTCCCACTGGTTAATCAAAAGCTTTACGCACACTTGCTTTCTTAATGCCTACTTGAGCACGTGGGCCGAATACAGGGAAAACATAATGTAAGTAGACGTGGGGAAGTGCAAAAGATGGAAGTGTGTTTTCATTGTTGTAATGATGTCATTTTAGTCACATGACATTTTCAGCTCTGCTTTTTAGCTGCCAATGACAGCAACATCACATCTCCCAGTTCGTTTCCTAACAGACAGCAAACTGCAACCAGGGCTTCATCTACACCCTAACACAGTTATAATATTATAATTGCAATATTCAGCTGATGTTGTGTTCTTAAATCTAATTGTAATCAGTTGTTTTGTTCTACAGGACACAAGTAATCAAATGCAGCATGATCACATGGTTCCTGTGAAACTAACCACACTAATACATGTGAACATTTTCCTACACATTTATATTGAAATTACTGGAAGACCTCTTCTTAGAAAACAACTTTAAAGAAGTTTGTCTTGTGCAAATCATTCGGTGATTACGTGCCGAAGAAACACAAGACATACACAAGATGTAAGCCTTTTCCTTTTTCTTAAATCAAATGCAAAGTCAACGATTTCCCTGAAGAATGAAAATAATGACTGTTTCCGAAAAGAAATCTGTCAGTGTCTGCAGATGCTTCATCGATCATCATAGGCTTTAAACAAATATCTCAGATCCATCTATGCATCCATAATTTATCAGTTGATCCTCTGCAGCAACATGTTTTGCTTTGCTCACGGCACATTTAATGACCCAATTTCACAGGGAAATCCTCTAGCTGACAAAGTGAGCCTCCACACGTCAACCGCAAACACAGATGCAACATTATAACTCCAAATAATATGTGAACCGCTGCTTTATGATGCCTTGTAACTAATTGTAACAATGTTATTAGTATAAGATTTATGTAATGAATTGCATATAACATTTCCATCCATTTAGATTAGACAGTTTAATACATTTAATGTGAGGCATATTTGTCAGTCATACATACAGTAATTGAAACAGATCAGATTTCTTTAATAGTGCTAACTTTGATCAAATATTTTGTTTCAGTCTCATACATTTAATTCTGTGAGCAGAACTGTTTTTGACAAGGTAAAAAGGATTTACGCGACCATTGAGGAATTTTAAACAAAGTACACTCTAAAAAATGCTGGGTTGTTTCAACCCAACTTTGGGTCAAATATGGACTAACCCAACTTTTGGGTTAAAAATGTAATTAAAAAATGTAACCCAACAGCTGGGTTAGTCCACTTTTGACCCAAAGCTGGGTTGAAACAACCCAGCATTTTTTTAGAGTGTATGTTGCAGACATTTCATGAAGACCCTAAAGAATCATACCAACTTGTGGAAAATGGGCATCCGATGTCCCCTTAAAAAAAAAATAATAGAAAAACAAACTAAAAATGAAAAGTTTATTAGTTTCTTTGTTAACTCTGTATACATACATTTTAAATTTAAGCCTAAACATATTTTGAATGTTGGGAGATTGACCTCACAAAAGAAGATGTCAGCCATGTGAAGGAAACTATTTTTGAAGGAAAACATTCCAGTTGATCTATGTCAAAAAAAAGTGTCTTTCTGAACACTAATAGCTTACAGTGGTGCTTATGTCTGTGTTTGAGGCAAAACGGCTAAAAGTGTGTAGAGTCTGAGCTCTGTATGAAGTGACGGCTCTTTGTTTGAGGTTTGAGCAGATGATGGACTCCTGTGAAGCTCCAGATTTACATCCTGCCTGAGAGCATTCAAATACACACAAAACAACATGGAAATGATCAGCGATCAGACTGATGGAGTGGAAATCAGGAGACATGAACTAAAGGTCTGTGGGTTCATCTGGAGCTGCTATAAGTAACATACAGTACATGTAGAGATTTAAAGCATTTGTCCAGATTTCATCACTGGACGAAGAACAAAAGCAACTTTCTACAGCTGTACTTTCACACTATGTTCCTGGTTATTTGCGTAGTTACAAGAATTTCCACTGGCCCGTCCATATTGTAATACTTCAGTTTTACCTCATTCTACAATATCAGATCAGGGAAAATCTTGAGTTTACCTTAGAAATCCCGTTTTTTTCAGTGCATCTTCAATGATTAAACAATTTTCCACCAGAGACCAAAACACAATCTCCTGGACGCAACCTGACAAAGCAATAAAAAGGGGGTTTAAAATGGAATAAGCATGAAAGGAGAATAGCTGGTTGGTGTAAACAAATGTTGATCACCGATGTGAGACTAGAAATACTTTCTACACTGTCATTTGTTGTTGTTGATAATCTAGTGTCTGATAAACAAACATTCACGACAGAATAAATGTGTAAACATCACAGAATTTCAGAAATGTTGTAATCAGCTGAAAATTTCTGTTCATTAACAATTTATCAGGGTATTTTAATCATCATATAATAAATGACTAACAAGATAAAGCTACAACAAATTAGCCTTTTACTGAATTATTAAAAAAAAAAAATCTGTAAAAACACAGGTACGTTCCCTCCACATTGTATAATTTACTATCCATGTCAAGCTTCCAATGATAAATAAAATTAAAAAATTTTCCTATTTTTTTAAACATGCATCCTTATTTTTAATGTTTTCTTAATTGAATATGGTTTTCTCGTCTATTTATTCCATTGCTTTCATTCGGATGTTCCACATATTGATTTGATGATACTTTACAACATTTTTTTTCTCATTCAGAATAAACTACTTGAATGATAAAAGATGTTCAAGAAGAAAAATGCCTCACATTGGACAACACAATATGGTTATGTTGTTGCAATTTCTAAGAATGATGATGTTTTCTTTGACTCGTATATTAGTCATTTAGATTAAGAAAATCTGTATGAAAATGAATCTTAAGTACCAGTCATTTATTTTTATTTTTGGTCCCAGAAAAAAAACAAAAAATCCTTAAAGTCCTCATCTTCATTTCCATTTTGCCAGATTTGTTTAGTAAATCAGACTTGACCTGAGAGGTGTGCTGAGAAAAGCAATTCTGGAGGTACCATGATGTATGAAATATATTCAGCAAGCTGTCAGTGAGAATGTCCTAAGGGTGGAGAAACGAGCTGCTAAGAGAAACACAAATAAAAGGAGGGACGGATGCCCTTGTCATATCAGACCATCACAGGTATCTGGTTAATAGTCTTTAAAAAACAAGATGGAGGGACTCTCTTATCTGTTCTTACTTTCGGGTGAGTATAAATGAGACGCATCAATCAAATGATGTACAATTATAGATGCCGTTTAGCTATTCTTTATGAACATTTTTAAAGAATCAAATGGAACATAAACTTGATCCACATCCCAGAAAGCAATGGAAATATTTTGTTTTTGTAACAGGTGTCTTTTGCATTCAGGGGAGTTCAGAAAACTTGGAAGGTAAAAAGTACTAACTAAGGTCCCATTATGCATTAACTAACATTAACCAATACACAACTTTATTTATTAATATTTGTCAATGTTGGTTAATAAAATCCAGTTAGTTAAAGTAAGCGCAGATCCATTAAAAAATATTAACTTCATATTTTAATGTAGTAGTAAATGGAATCGAGTGTTTTGGATTGGAATTTAATATTTGAACCCACATGGAATGTACTGAAACTTCACACATTTGAGTCTGGACCCTCTGTCTCTTTAAATGTT